ACACACACACACACACACACGAAACACAGAAGTTTTCAGTCGTTGTGGATCAACAGCGCAACCAGCCGATTATAGCCGCCCATTCAAATGTAAATCACAAGTTCAGATTTTGTGTGAAAAAGGCAGAGAGAAAAAGAAGAGTGTCTCGGACAACGGGAGAGAGACAGAGTGAAGAATAAGCTCCTCGTCCTGAAATCAATTCACGGAGACAGAGAGGAACCACGGGCAAATGTATATTGCAAACCCAATAGTTCCTCTAATGTTTTCACTGATTGTTCCACAGCACGTTCCCCATGATGTGATTAGTCATGATACATAAGAATGAGTCGCTATTCATGACGTTCCACTGTGGCACGGTAGAATACGTGTGTGTGTGTGTGTGTGTGTGTGTGTGTGTTTGTGCATGCATGTATTTGTATCTAGTGTTATTTACTTGATTGTGTTTAAGTGGGGTGTGGGATCAGTGGCTGGCCTTTCTCCAGCTCCACTTTACTTCCAGAGGGGAAGAAGGACAAAAGCCATCAGGGAAGACAAGTACAAATCATCTTTAGATGAAGTGTTTTAAGTGCTCTGATTCTCCTCCCACGTCATCACCGTGAATTAGGTGCCCTCTGCTTACTGCTAAGGGGTGAAGAATATAAACAATGCCAAGGGAACGGATGTTAAGCAAATGAAAGTGGAAAACCATGAGGGTGTCTATCTTAGTCATCCTCGTAAATCTCAGGTCCCTTGCCATGCCGCTTCCATATAGTGATGTCTGACGACCTGCCAGCCGAGCTCGCAGGGGTGGCGTGCGGTGTGGTCTGGTCGATCCTGCTCTTAGCGGTTTCAACCATGGCAGACGTTGTAGGCAGAGCTTTGTCTTTGTTTTATGCAAATCCATGCTTATGAGCAGGGTGAGGGGGTTGTGTGTGTGTGTTTGTGTGTTTGGTGGGGGGGCGATGAGCAGTCTGGCCACGTAGCTCCAGGAGGACAGACTGAGTGATGGAGACGGAGAGCCAGGTCTCGGCGTCCTTGCCTGGGGAAAGAGTGTCCCGTCTCTGGCCTGGACAGCCTAGACGCCACCAGGACACGGTGCTCATGTGCCTCTATCCCACCATCGCAAAGAAAGAGATTACTCTCACACATGTATTTACTCTGTGAAATGTGGAGCTGGTGAGGGCATAAAGAGAGGTTAACGTTGTATGAGACTTCCAGCGTGTCTCACCTGGGACTGGTGTGTGTGTGTGTGTGTGTCTTGTGAAGGCAGGCACACCTCAGGGGTTCGCCACGCAAAGAGACACTGAAGTTCAGAGCCAGCCGGGAGCTGGAGCACCCAGAATATGCTGATGAAGAAAAAAGGCCAGGTGTGTTTATGTGCGCCGTAAGTGTGTGAAAGAGGCCGTGAGAAAGTAAAGAGAGTGCAAATTTTGGGGAAGCGAATGTGTGTCTATCTTTGAGTGTATGTGCGTGATCACATAAGCATAAAGTAACAGGTACAGAAGGCCACTGACCACGTGACACGTGCGCAGCTTGGTGGTTTAGGTGAGACCTGCTGAAACAGAGTCACCCACACTGTAAATAGTCGTAACCATCCAGGGTTTGTTCCTCCTCTATATCAGTGTTGTCCTTCCGTGCAGCAAATTGCATGTTTTCAAAATAGTTTTGTTCTCCCATCCTCTCTCTCCCTCTCAGAGCTGCGTGCTAACAGTAACGGTTAGTCGGAGGCTCCTCTATCACACAGAGCTCTATTTCTGGGTGCGAGGATGAGTCGTTGAGGGCAGATGAAATCGATCCAAATTGACCTGTCATGTGGAGGAGAAAATGAATGAGATAGAGGAGGGGTACAGAGGTCAGCGAGAGAAGAGGAGTGGGGCGGGGTGGCAGTGCAGAAGTACAAAAACAACCTCCTGCTCCATATGGGTCAAAAGTGGAGAGATGATTTATTCAAGACTGGGTCTTATCCCTCCTTCCCCTCCCCACCCCCGCTCCGCTCCACCTGCCTCTCGGAAAGGAGTGAGAAACTGGAGACTGCTCAGGAGGAGCGCACTATATTTAGCCCCGGTGGCCAAAGACACTGTGGTCTAACTTTAAACTTAAAATCACAGATATCCATGTACAGTGAGATGGGTACGGTTTGCGTCACTACAAGGCATCCGTCACATGGTGCCCGCCGTGTGCCGACTCAGACAGAGGGAAGCAGACTATAGCTTTTACTCTGGGTTTCTGCATCACAGAGGATTGTACAAACTTACTAGTAGCCACAGTTACCCTACATTTATTAGTACAACAAACAAATGTGTTCAAATGTGTGAGCATGATCAAAGATCTAAACAACAAAAGCAAATTCTACTCCTGATTGTGAGACTTTCAATGAAAGGAAGAAAGGCAGGCAGGAAGAAAAGGAGGAAAGAAAGAAAGAAAGGGGATTTATGGCTGCGTTTGTATTTGAAGTGGTACTAGATTTAGCTCAGTGTATTTGGGCAGAGCTCCACTTTGCTAATTATTTTCCCGTGGCAGAGTTCTCAGCGTGGCACTCCTCTCTCGCTCCGAGAAAAGAGGCTCAGCCGTAAGTGCTTAGTCAGCCCCGCTCTGGGTGTGAGATACTGTTGGGTCTCTGGTGGACTGTCAGGGAGGCGGAACAGCGTGGGTCCAAGTCATCGGAGGGGCGAAGGCTTTCGTGAGAGGGCAGGCCTATCATCGGCCCTCAGTGGAATGAAGGGAGGTAAAATCTCGGACAGTGAACAAGAGATCTGTCTTGTATACCGGCTTCAGTCCTCATCGTCTTGATAGTTTGCAGATTGTAGAAACCAGATGACACTTGTGTAACCTCCTCATTGTGGACATTATTTTTGAAGTCTAAAATGTAGCAATTAGCAAGGACACAGACTGTGTACTGTTTCTACACGGCCTTGTTTTTCTGTGCCTCGGTCAGTCACTCCAGAGGAAGCTGTCTGTTTCTCTCTTTCCCATCTATTTATACTCCAATGTCAAACTTGTCTTTCTTTCTGTCTCTTCCCCTCATTTCAGAATGACGTATGGCTCCTCCTCCTCTGTCTGCCCCGCTATCCTCAAAATGACTCTCCTCCTCCTCCTCACAAACAAACTTAGCTTCCTTCCCCTCACCTCTGTTCCCAACGTCACTTTCCCTCCCTCCCTGCCTCACCCTCCCTCAGCCCCACACTGCACCTGCTTCCCTCCCTACCGCTCTCTCTGCTCCCTCTCCAAACGTCACTTTCCCTCCCTCCGCACCTCCTCCACTCCTATTCTCCCCCTCGTTAGCTTGATGAATGGCTTCACTGCAGGGAAAGTGCTGATTTTCATCCCTCTGTCTGATTTCTGCTGGCTGTTATTAATTTCAAACACTCAGAGAAAAGCAAGTGAGTCAATAAATAAGGAAATGAACACACTTCATCCTGCCATACAGCAACTCTCACAGTCATTCACCCAGGGTGCAGGTCCTCTGCGGAGGCTGGGCCTGCATTTATACTGATAGAGTTCAGCACCGCTCTGGAATCACAACATATTTTAGTGTTTCATAAAGCAAGAGTAAAAGTCGCCTAGTGCCACTGCATCATATCAAATGTTTCCGGAGTATTTTCAGTTTCTCGCTTCACTCAGACAAACAGGACCAGTGGGAGGCAGAGCGGCACAAAGCAAATAGCTCTGAAGAGTCCTACAGCGTCCTCTCTCATCTTTCATCTTTCATCTTTCACACTCGTGCCACATTAAAGAAATGTATACAGAGGGTGACAATGGGGCGAGAGATCAGAGAAGATACAGGGTGAAAGAGAGGCAATGAGAGCGGCAGCCTAACAGAGTTATGGCTGCACGTTAAACGATGCTGTCCGCACGGCACATCTAAGTGCACATTACTTACATTCCAGGCTTAATGCATTGTGCCTGCGCGTTAACATCAAACACAAATAGCCTTTGAGACAATGCGACTCCCTCAGTGTTTTGTTGTCGGACACAAACGCTCGCACCATAAGTTGTTGTTCTCTATTTTATGTGTTTAATTAATTTGAGTTGGGATATTTAATCAATCTGTGATCACCATAATGCATGCACGGACACAGAAACTAAAGCCTGAGATATCATCGTGCTGTTTACAAAGTGTTAGGACAAACAGTCTTGTGAAGCATCCTATTAATGCACGTTTCAGACACACACACAAATACACAGAGGCTAGAAGTTATGTTAGTTGTTGTTATATTGTTTTCCATGCCACTGACAATTAAAATATATCTGCGATCATATTTATAAACTGCTTTATAGGACTGTTCCAATGAATACATTTCCAAATTGTTACTGTGAGAATTTCTGTTTAGGCGATTTCCATGTAGAGTATGACAAGTATTTTGTCCCCCACACTTGATGTTGTGTGAAAATAAAAGACATTTGACCTTTAAGTTTAAAATATATTCAAGTTTAAGTTCATGCAGAGAGGGGGTTTAATCATTTCGACCAGACTTTGGTGTTAAACTGTGTTTTAGTTCTCTATTTCAAGTATTTTGGGGCCAACTGTTATGATGTCTGACAACTTTGACAGTTAATGGATTCCCTGAGGGTCACTGAAGACTAAATATACAGCATGTGAGAATATA